ATTCTTCCACCAATCCTGATGCCACATTCCTCTTCGTACAGCCCAGTGTCTTGGATGATCTGTTCTGCATACAGATTGAAAAGGTATGGAGACAAAATACATCCCTGACGGGCCCCTTTATTGATTTTGAACCATCCAGTGTCTCCCTGCTCTGTTCTGACGACTGCCCAAATTCATCGCGTCTCGGCCTTTTGGCTAAGTAAGATCAAGTGGAGTATCTGTTCTTATATTTGGCAATGACATGTCTGATAAGGGACTTATATCTAGAATTTACAGAATACTCGAGCGCCACAAGATAAAGGTAGACAACCCAATAGAGAAATAAATGGGCACAGGATATGAACAGACACTTCACCAAAGAAGACATTCAGGTGATGAACAAACACATGAAGAAGTGTTTAAAATCCCTAGCTTTAAAGCAAAACAACTCTGAGATATCATCTTACCCCAGTAAGAATAGCAAAATTCAACAGAGCTGCGAACAGCAAATGTTGGCGAGGTTGTAGAGGAACTAGAACTCTTTTTCACTGTTAGTGAGAGTGTAAAATGGTGCAACCAACTATGGAAGGCAGCATGGCACTTTCTCAAAAAGTTGTAAATAGAAATACCATCTGATCCAGCAATTCCTGTACTGGGAATATACCCTAAAGAAACCATAACTGCCAGCTAAGCAGATATATACACACCCATGTTTATTGCAGCTTTATTCACAATAGCAAAGAGTTGGAAACAACTCAAGTGCCCATCAACAAATGAATGAATAGAGAAGCGGTAGTACTATGGAATACTATGTTGCATTGAAAACAAACAAACAAAAAAACCCATCATGAAATATTATTATATAAAATGGGTGACCCTGATGGACATTATGCTAAGGAAATATCTTAGTCACTAAAGGACAAATACTACATAGTGCCACTGTTGTAAAGTGAAACTGACATTCGGGTTGGGGGGAACCTAAGAAAAAAGGGGAAAAATAATGTATACTGCATTGAAACAGACGAGGGACAGAACTATTTAAAAGGAATATAGGATTAGGTATTATTTTCATGACAAGATTACAGAAAAAGAAATGCATCGTAAAGTGGACTGTGTGGTTTGGGAGGGGATTGTATCACAATGAAAGAATTTTTTTTTCTTTTCAAAGAGAGAAACGAACTGTGGGAGAGGGGTGGGCAGGGAGAAAATATGCGACAATGAAAGACTGAGGGAAAACGAAATGGAAAGAATATGCTGTAAAAAAGATACATGTGGCATTAAAATAATTAATAATAAAACAAATTTAATCTTAAAAAAAAGGGGGAAAGCTCGCAAATCCACCACGGTGGGTGGAGTCAATTGTGATGCATAGAGAATGGGTAGGACAGAGCAGAACTGCCCCTGAGGGTTTCTAAAGCCGAAATCTTCATAGAAGCAGACATCTATAGTTTTCTTTGGGAGAACAGTGAGAACTCAATGACCTTTTGGTTAGCAGCTGAGCACTTTAATGGCTGCATCACCAAGGCTCTTTTACAGTATTATAAAATGTGTCTAAATCATTTCATCAAGAGTCACTCAAAATTTTAGAGATAGTGATAAAGAAATAATTCAGAAAAAAATCTTAAAATATTTTAGAGTCAGTGGATAAGAAAATGGTAATGTTGCAAACAATGTAGCTTTATCTGTGTGTTTTGTACCATTTTTCTGCTTCTAAAAAGCACACTCCACGTTAGACAAGAAATACAAATCAAAAACGTCATTCAAATAGTCATAGCAGTAAACTGTCCCAGACATGAGGAAATAGACATGAAATTCACCCCTGTACAGTGCTTTAGAGCTGGCTAACAGTCAATAACTGATGAGGTTTTAAAAGCAGCAGTGTTCCATTTTTGGCTTGCAGAAGACATATCTTCATTGTCAAAATAGGAATGGACAAATGGTCGAGCCTTGGCTACGGTAATTATTCCTTTACGAAAGAGAAACCCAACCTTCTTGAACTCTGCGCCTGTATAGCAACCCATCTGGCTTCTTCACGATGATGCTTCTACTAATAAGAAAGGAACTCGCTTTGTAGCAAATGAAGGTGGATACACACACTTAATGCACATTAGTGGTCTTTATTTAACGCTGGTCCCGAATTTAAAATAAGAGCCAGAAACACAGAGAACTTTAGAAACTGTTCAGCAAACCACAGATGGAGAACTGAACCCGCCTAGCCTCGGAAACCTTTGATCCTACTGTCCGCAGTGTCTCGTGGCCGCTGGACAGCTACATCTGGACAGGAGTGAACTTCACAGAGCAGTCCCCGAGGAGAGCTTAGGGACAGAGGCGTGGGAACAAAATAGATGGAGGGGACACGGGTCCTGGGAGTTCACAGTGGCAGCAGCAGCGCTTCAGGATTCCCCTGATCCTGGAGGGTCCCCTCCCCACTTCTCCGCCGTTGGAGGGAATCTGGAGCCGAGAGCGAGCTCCTCACGCGCGCTCCTGAAGCGGCGGGGG